GAAGGACCTGCGCGTCAAGCAAGGTACCGCCGCGGGAGAAGGGGGGAGGCACGGAGGGAAATTGGCCGGCGCTTCGGAGGGTGCCGCCGGTCCTCTTTCCTGGCAGAAGTCAGCGGGACTCACCGCCCGGCTGCCGCCTGTGGGCGGTGGGGCCCGGGGGGCAGGACGGAGATCCGCTTCCCTCAACCGAGGGCTGTGCAGGCGAGCCAGGTGGGGCGTTTTAGGCTGACCATCCGGCGAGCTTTCGGTTGGGAGAGGCTGGCCCGAGGAACTGCATCGCGGAGCTGGAAGACTTGCAGCGACTTGCTCCTTGGGCTTCCTGTGCCGTCGCACAGTGTTGAACTAGGAGCCGGCGGTGAATTTCTCCCCGCTGCGCTCCGGGTTCACTAAGGCAGGGTTTGGGGCATGGCGGAAAGCCCTTTTCTGTTTAAGCTTTCCTTATGGGAGCCCCGTCGTATTTTAAGAAGCTTTCTATCCTAAGTATAGAAAGTAGAGCCCTTTCTGTTGTAGGTATGAATAAGTACTGTCAGCCTCTTTCAAGTGGAGCTGGGTTCCTCGTGATTTCAGGCATGTGTGGGTTTTTAGCCAGCCGTAGAAGTGGTTTGGTTACTGTCTTCTGAGAGGTGTTTTTTATTTTTTTTATTTTTTTTACTTCCAAGTAAAAGGCTGGAGCTGACTAGACTAAAGCTGCCATATCTAAAGATGAAGTAGGCATATAAGCAGAGAGGACAAAAGCCAGGATTCTTGTCTAAAATCCTTTTGGGGAGGTTAATAAGAAGGAAACAAGTTAAGGAAACAAAGGAAAAAATGTCACCTGAACCAGACAAAGGAAGTTGGGCCTAAGCACATGGAAACCCCTCCAGTCCCATCAACAGTTACCAGATTTGTAAATTAACAAGGCAAAAGTAGCTGCCAGTCTTGTGAATCAACAAAGCAAGGACTTTCAGAGATAAAAGGTGTCCTGGAGCCTGACCACTCTTTGAGTCATCTTTGGACCCAGACTTGGTGGCTTCTGTCCCTCTAACTAGTGCCTGGCAGCCTAGTTGAGAAGGACGTGGGTAAGTGTGGATGAGTGTGTGTGTACATGTGAGAAAGAGCAAATGTACATTGTAACCAGTAAAATTTTACTGTTACTTTAAATTCACTGGATCTCTGTATTTCAAAGGACCTGTTGTGCCTCAGTGTTTGATTGGAAGTGATTTGTGTGTGTCCCTAATTATTTCCCAGCTATTGCCAGGGCTGTGTGTCTTCTCTGCTGCAGCTGCCCTTATCTGGAAAACCCAGGTAGAAAGCAAGGGGGGTGGAGGGCTTACAAGATCCGCATGCCTCAACAGGCTGTGAGTGTGTGAGAGGGTGACCATAAGCCAAATCTGGGAATGCCTGTAACGTAAGTCTAGTCCTGGTATCCCCTGGAGATCTCTCACCAGGCTTGGCCCTGTGAAGACATTAACCATATGCTTTTTTCTGACCATTAGTCTCTGAAGGCATTCGTACAAAACCACAGTCTCATTGCTAACATAAATCTAGCAGAAAGATTTCAAATTATAAAACTATTTTATATAAATATAAAAACTATATTTGGATCTTTTTGTATAAACTACAAATGAGTGCTTTGAGTTCTGGACTCTTTGTTGTCTCAGATGAATATAAAACTCAAAATGTGTTACTGAGAAGTTAAAGACTTTTCCACCTGCTTTATCCACAAGTTTGTTTTATCCACAACCTAACCTAGTAGCTGTTGTGTTCAGTCGTTAAGTCATGTCCGACTCTTTGTGACCCCAACCCAGTAGCAGTAATCCAGAATTAGTTGCAATAAAAACATACAGCTCCATCTTTTCATTTACAATATAAAAGTCAACAAATAACACATCTCTTGAATCTGCTGTTTGACATCGGTAGTATTTTCTATCCACCTGCATAGAAAAATTCTCTTAAGTAAACTTCAAGTTAAACTGCTTTTAATAGAAAATGTGCAATGGGAGACATGATAGAGGTATATAAAATTATATATGGTGTGAGAACGCTGATAGGAGTAGAATACAATTCAGTGAAGGTGGATGGTGGGAAATTAAAGGAGATAACAGGAATATTATGTAGACTACACAGCTTGCTACAGTAAGGTACGATGGACATTAACTTGGATATTTTTAAAAGATGATTAGGGTAATACTATCAATTGGTACTAGTCACAGTTATTAAATTCTGATATCTGAGGCGTTATGGGTCTCACTATCTGTGGTCCAGGAATGGCTGTTAGCACTTTTATGTCCTGCTTGTAAGTGTCCTATGCACTTTTGGTTAGCCCCTAGGAGAGCAGAATGCTGTACTAGGTAGGCCTTTGATCTAATTTTGTGTACTCTTATGTTATCTTTGTCAAATAATTGTTTGCTTAACTATACAGGTCCAAAAACGTACAGCTTTGGTTCTGCAGTTGACTCCAGTGCAAATACAGATGAGTCTATTCTTAAGGTGAGATGATTTATTAGATGGAAAAAACATTATTCAAGGAGGAAGCAGCCATATACAGAACAGGCTGAAACTGTAATCTAAAATGAAATTATGTGATCCATGTAATTATGTGTATAAGTGTGCATTTTATACACACACACACTTCAGTAACCTTTTCACACAAATATATGGAGAAAGTATTCAAGTGCATATCATTGGTCTGAATCTTTAGCTGTGAATGTGCTTTGTTGAACAATTTTCAAAGGTGTAGGCTGTAACTAAGTTTTGTCTTTTCAGGTCATAATTAATAGTAATTTGGAAAAAAGAATTATTGCCATAATCAATGACCATAAGAAACAAACTGGTGAAAAAGGAATGATTTCTAGAAGACTAACTGCTAAAAAATTACAGGTAAAATTTGAGACTCTTTCAGTTCATTAATACTGAACATATTTCCAGTATTTAGACGCTTTAGTGAGGTCAATTATATATATCCTCCATTGGATAAAGAAGATAAAGGCTTCTATATTATCATCTGTTAATGGTTTGTGGTCTCTTGTTCCTATGTCATTTATTAATCTGACATAAAGAAGGCAAAGATGATTAATTTATGTTTTCTTTCAGTACTCATGGTATACTGTACTATATTTCAGGTTCTAGCAACATTATAATCCACTTTCCTACTTTTCAATCTATCGTGTTCTTTATTGGTTTTCTCTTATTTGTGGTTAATTTTATTTAGTCGTTCGCCATTTTCTCTTTGGTTTTTCTGTTCAAATGAATACTTAGACAGTTAACATAAAAAAAAAAAACCCATGAAAGTAACTCTAACCCATAGAAGTTAAAAATGAAGACACTTCCAGTAGTAAGAAAGCTCTGTGGGTTTGGATGGGGAAAAGCCGTCTCCGACTGTGGCTGTGGGCATTTAGACCACCCAGATCTGGGGATATTCCAACTTTTTTTGTATTATTTGTTTTTAAATGTTTTTAACAACTGTAAACTGCCCAGAATCCCTGGGAGTCGGATAGCATATACATTTAATTTATTATTATTATTAATGTGATTCCTTTATTATGCCCTGGTTAACAACCTTCCTGCTATGTTTTGTACTGATTGAACTTTCTGGATACTTTTCAGAGGTAAACTTGGGCAGAGGCTGCAGTAGTGGCAGTTGTGTACATGTGCTTTTTGCCATAGCTACTCACCTGGGAATCCGGTGATGCCAGAGGATTAAAGAACACTCCCAGGCTTCAGGCTTACTCTTTGAGGGAGAGAACAGCTTCGTGATCGAAAGTCTGAACTTTTAAATCTGATTTGACCAACAGTAGTTCCTCATCTTTGTACTAGTTTTTTTCTCCTTGAAATGTATTTATTTATTAAGCATTGCATTTATGTCCCTTCTTTTTAAAATCTGAAGATGGCATGGGGGTTACCTCAAATTATCTCTACAGCAACCTCCCAGTGTGGTAGGTTGGGTTGAGAGAGACTCCCCGTGACCAAGTGGGGACTCTCCTGTCCAAAATTTCAACTACTATACAATACTGGAGATCTTTGTTTAGAAACCTAGAATCATGTTTTCCAAAATGTAGGATTAATTCAAAGCTACTTTAGTATACATATGGTAGACACAGATTTTACTATTCATTATAACAATGAAACAGCTCTAGTTTTCTAGTGGAATGAAACATATCTTTGTTTAAATTTTTATGTGTAGAGAAGAATAGTTGCAGGTTTCCTCTGTGATATACTGTAATGCGTTCTTCTTTATAGGATGTATACATGGCTTTGCAAGGATTTTCTTTCAAGACTGAAGATATTGAAGAAGCTATGACTAATACTATCTTGTATGGTGGCGACCTACACTCTGCACTTGACTGGCTATGTTTAAACCTATCTGATGGTAAGGATAAAGGCAACTTTATGAATTTTGAGAAATCTAGTATAGACATAATATATTCTCTCCCTTCAGATCAGATTTGAGGGTTGCAGGAGGGAAAGGGGGAATAAATCCTCTTGTATATTGGTTATCAGTATTAACTGACATTGACCATTCCAAGTCTTTACTGTTCTAGGAGTTGAAAATTAAGGTTAATTGTAGAAGCAGATCAAAGCAGATGACAGTACCTATCCAAATTTGGCGGATTTCAAAAAGCTAAACAGGATCAGACCTAATTAGTATTTGGATGGGAGACAACCGTTCAATCTCAGAGATTCAGGTGAGACTGGAAAGTTGAAAAAATATCCCAGAAGGAGGCAGTGCCAACCTACTTCCAAGTTGTAGAAGTGCTCCTGCGGTCCCCAAGAACTTTGCTCAACTAGATGTTCTGCACATTAGAAGGAAAACCAGCAGAGAGTTTCAAAAGTCTAAATAGCTGAGTGATTATTTTCTTTAGTAGCTGAAAAAATGTAGGATAGTTATAGAATTGTTTTCTCAGAATGAGATGAACCAGCAAAGGACAATCCCAAAGGGAAATGAGAATCCTATAGGTATATTAGAAGCAGAAAGATAGTATTTCTTGACTTTTACTTTTGAATTTAGCTATATGCCATGCATATTTTTAGATAATAGATTAACGGATGCTTCCACCAATAGCTGTGTAATTCTTAGTGCTATGAGGCCTAGTGGAGGACGCGAACAGGTTCATCAGCCTCTAGATCAGTGTTTCTCAACCTTAGCAACTTTAAGATATGTGGACTTCAACTCCCAGAATCCCCTAGCCAGCATGGCTGGGTAGGGAAT